TATCATGACCATCAGCAAAGCCACGTGCAGGTCAGCTGCGTGTAACTGCTTCCGTTAAAACATACGTAGAATTTATTTACTCACCATTTTCTAGAATGGCGTTCATGTTCAAATGATTTACTTCAGTTAATAATATGTATTGTAAATGTTTCAGATTTGGTGTTCATGGTCTGTCGTTGATGTGTTTCAGAGATATGACAGAAGCCAAGCGAGATGGTGTCCAAATACGGCTAGGTGCACCAAGGATCTCCTCACATGATTACTGCGATGTCGACGAGGGTGAAGGTGGTCCAGTAATTGTGTACCTTTAGTACAGGTTCCAATAAGAACAACGATGAAGTACAACATATGATGGTGGTTATTTCTGTGTGTAATTTGTATATACATTTATCAAATCGGTCATCTGTTATTGCCATCCCATTGTCCACACCATTAACACGATGGTACAGAAAAGTGACAAAACCATTTCAACCATTTGTATACCGAATATGTTTTAAAAATAAACACGAAGAAACCCCTTCCGAATAGATTATGTGCACCTGTCTCAAACATTTTTCATCTGCAAAACACAGAAACAAGGAATGGCATCGGATAATAGTTGAACGCTGATTTTTTAGATTTGAACATGTTCTCTATGTAAATGGGAGAATTGCCAACCTGCTCTTACCAGAAGTACGAGGTCTGTACTACCGTTGCCTAGACAACTAGTTTGTAGAAGCCACGGTGGCTCAGTGGGTCTGATTGCTGACCTTATGTGCTGGTAATGAGGTGCCTCATTCGAATATATCCCTGATGGGACCCAACCCCAAAATACTAAACTTTGCACTCTTTATCCCAAATATAACACATGTTGCATTTGTCAATAATGTAAGAGGTTGTGTATTCGTAGCGTTCGGCCATGAGAGGCCACTGTCAGAGGGCTGCATAAGGTCCGGGATCTAGATGACCAGTCATCTGACGTCCACGTTTGAGGGAGACTATGGGTGTCTTTGCAAGACGCTAGCCATTTGGCCCCACAAATGAATGTGTTGATTCGCATTCCTCATGGACTAATCTCAAATACAACATTTGTTATATCTGACCAATTTCATTACGGCACTGTGTGTTCATACCAATGTTTATAATGTGTTATTATGCTGTTATCTGAAGCTGTACATGATTACCAATCAAAATAACTTCGCAAATGCTCAAATGTATATAGTTCATATATCACTACAAAGTAATTACTTACGAATTCGTTGTCTGTTATTTTACAGTTTATTGTTTTACTCTACTAAAATAAAATATGTGCTGCTTTCTCAAAATACCTTGTTTATTGTTTGAGGTCCAAGAATTGCAACCGCATAATATTTACATTGACTCTCGGATGCTTGGTTGTAAAATTTTAAGCTACTGTTGGACCCAAGCCGTGATAATAATGCTAACTTTATCAGTTTCTTCTGTGTTTTCCTCACATATGTATTGCCACGCAAGCTCTGAAAAATAAGAAACTATAACCTTGATTTGATTTCTCCATCTTTCAAAGCTTTTTTAATACTTGATAAAGAAGTACTTTTCTCTTTTTTCACTGTGGTACTTAAGATGTGGATTGTGGTTGATTAGGGCCACCGTCATATCGCCCTGAGAAGAACCAAGCGAAATTGAAATGAAACCAATTACAGAACATGAAATAGCAACAGAACTACATGAAATGGGTGTTAGTGAATGCTCGTAAATGCCTCGATCAAATATCCACTTTTGCCGATCATCCGTGGGCATCGGGTATGTTTTTGACATCGGAAAGACCCCGTTGACACATCGTGGACAAATCGGCGACCTGTGAAAGTCCACACTCCCATTGGTAACGGATCTCTGGCACATCTTCCGGCAACCCACCAGTAACCCAACAGGCACCTGCCAGACTGCCAGGGAATCGGACGATTTTTCTGGTGTGGTGTGGTCACCGGAGGATAACAGAAAGGTTGACTGTCGGGAATCGACCAATACTCGGATTGTTCCCGTTCGTAACCCATACGATTAAACTAAGTCGGAAGGTGACCAACCATAGTCTGGGCAAGCTACGAAAACCAACTGGTGGAACTATGATATTAATCAGTCTTATTTGATATACAGTCAAATCCCGATGAGTCGAATCGCTGGGGACCAAGTAAAGATTCGTCTTATCGATGTATTCGAACATAGGTATGTCTATGAGGGTAGAAAAAAAAGATGATTCAATATTGAACAATTCCTTTATTCAGCACATCATATCTAAATATAGCACAACAATACATTAGGTGACATAGGTGTATCTAATCACTTGTATATTGCAAGACTACGCTCCTTCTAATCATTGCAAACACGTCGCGTGCAACGTGCTCAGTCGACGCTGTGACAAGAGGAAACTTTGCGTCTGGTACGGTCTTAATATTATATCAGTCACATTTTACGTTCAAAATATACACTTCCTAAACGCAAATGGACACATAACAGGTGTAATCAGTGAGCCAGATGAATTGTGAATTATTGTAAGACCTCTTCAAACAGGGGCAGGCTGTAACGTCTTAGTTAACAACATGCTGTCTAAACCTCGACATAAAATACAGAAATACGATTTGATTAAACTTTAAATGTAAGATTAATTTGTAAATAGCTTTTTGTATGAAGCAAGGAATTTGAATTCAGTGTAACCATAGTTGTTTGTGGTGTCTCTTTTCACTTTCAAATGAGAAATTTGGATCAGCTGAAAAGTAGGTCATTCTCTGAATTAGTTAATGAGACTCATTTTTCGGTTTGTTTTGAATACCATTGCGTACTAATACCTCTTATCTCATGAGATGATCAATGATGCTCTTCTGATATCTGAAACCAGACTGAATTATCAGACCATACGATTCCAGATACCAGACAAGCTGCTTGTTGATCATTTTCGTTATTCGTTCCTTGGTTTTACAGATGCAATTTAATGAAGCAATTGGACGGTATTTAGAAGTATTCGTGTGATCAGGCCCTGGTTTTGGTACAGGAATGATGGTAGCCTCATGCCACGAAGAGGGAAAATTACCCTTTTCCTGATTTTCCTAGCTTTTGGCAACTATGCATTGTACATGGTGTAAAGAAGTTGTCGAGGTCCAAATGATCGCTGCCAATATAGCAGGAAGTAAAGAAGTGAATCGTCATGAACTGACTAAGAAAATTCTTTAAGGAGTGATGGAACAGAAGTAGACAAGTCCAAGGCCGAGTATGTACCTGTAGCTGATGCAGATAGGTGCCACGTCCATCATAAAGAATGCATTCCGTCGCGGATTTTACCTTTCTCATTATGATCAGCTGAACAAAGAACAATGACCATTTACGTTTCATGATCAAATATGGTTTGGGAAGCTGGTCAGTGAGTGTATAAGGTGCCAGATCCTAAGAAGAAAGTTATCACTTTTAAAGAAATTGTATACAAATAAAAGCGACTGAACAGTTTTGAACCCAAACATAAAACATTCGCGAAATCGCAACCTGGTCCTATAACATCGCAGCTGTCCGAAAATGTCACACGAATCGTGCATTTTTCAGAACGTGATCCAAATGCACGTGCATGATTGCGGGATAAATACCGATTTGCACAGGCCAAACATGCAGTAACGCACGCGAGCACACACACACACACACACACACACACACACACACACACACACACACACACACACACACACACACACACACACACACACACACACACACCTCCACCACCTCCCCACCACCCCTGGACATTTGCGAAAACGCAACCTGGTCTGATAACAACGCAGCTGTCCGAAAACTTCATTCGTGCATTTTTTAAAACGTGAAAGACGTAATTGTGCAAATGGTCTAATTGCACACGCACGCACACACACACACACACACACACACAGAGAGACACACACACAGACACACACACACACACACACACACACCGAATATCAATTCAAACATATATAAGCAAACAACGAGCATGATCAAGACGTGTAAAATGTATAAATCAGTGCGTTTATCTCACATACGTACCACTACATCAGTAAACGAACCCGTTTTCAGTAAGTTCACGCATGGCAACTGAGTAATATTGCTATATCGCAATGGCTGTTATAACTTATTCGTTAATGGCTGTATCACAATATCGCTAATGTCGGGCTATGTGCCGTGTTATAACAATAGCAACATGCAAGAACCAAGTCGGGGAGCCTGGTCACCGCTACTGTTCGCCGCCTCATACGACAAACATGCGTCTGTGAGGATGGCAATATATAAGAAATAACTCCACTTGCTGTCTCGTGTATGATTCTATCAAATAGTTGCTTCAATCAGAACCAAATTTTGTCTCAATGAAAGGTTGAATTGCTAAACAGTTAATATCGGTTGCAAACTAGGAGCTGAAGCAGAAAAGGGGCATATGCACGGCAAATGGCGCCTATGGAAGCACTGTAGTTTTACTTAACATTTTATATACATGATTTAACAATAAAGCCATAGTGAGCAACGTGTCTGTGACTATCAACGACAGATCATGCAGCTGGAGAAAACTCTTATTTCAGGATCCGGGGGAAGTTTATCTGACTTTAGTACAAAGTGCTCAGTTTTGCCTCCTTAGTTGCGTCACTGTTATCCGACTCTAGAACGTTTAGTGAAATATGAACAATTCTTTTCTCGTATAATGACTCCATATTCATGCTTCAAGTCACTGGAATCAACTGTTTTGTGTAACTAAAATAACTGAATGAACTGCACTAATGTGCTACTGTTTATTGACAGGTTGAGAATAAATAAAGAGGCCACGATTTTCAGTGATTTTTAACGTATATATCCGAACACACTGTCTGTTGATGTCAGTTCTTGACTGTCACACAACCTGCAGCGTTGAACAAGGTTACCAGGCCCCACACACGCCGTGGTTGTCGCCAACAGCAGGTAGACGAAACTGAAAACGTAAACATGAATCAGAATATATAAAGTTATTAAAACAACGATCAGGCGACAGACGTGGAGCGGCGTTTGTGCACTACACAGCAAGACGGCCCGGGGATAAAGTTAATGTAGGTGTTTTTATTTCGACCTCGCTTTTGCCTGTTAATTCTCCTGGCTCGATACATACCGGCCATATATAGGTATATACACGTATATTTGTCATAATGAGTGTTTTTTTACATTTATGAGTAGGCCATATATAGGTATATGTATACGTAGGTGTTCAATATTTGTCATTTACAGTTATGAGTTTATATTTCGTTTTCAGGTAACAATGGCATTGTTAGTCATCATAGTGCTGATCTGTATGGCTGATCCCACACAAGGTAGGAGAAACCTTTGTTGCCCGTGGGGCAGTTCCGCTAACGTACTGCTGTGTGGCATCAGGATGTAAATACTTAGTTTTGGTGTGAGTGGGTGAGTGAGTGAGTGAGTGAGTTAGTGAGTGAGTGCGTGAGTGAGTGAGTGAGTGAGTGAGTGGGTATAGTTTTCAGCAATATTCCAGCAATGTCAACCCAAACCCATGTGGGGAATCGAACTCGGGTCTTCGGCGTGACGGGCGTGCGCTTTAACCACTAGGCCACCCCACCGCTAGTTTTGGTGTGAACTGCGAGTGCTACTGGTAGTATATGTTTATCCTTAACACGAACACCTGGTGTCATAAATACATGTGTCAACGTGAGAAAAGAGGGGAAGCAATTAAATATTGTATTTTGACAATACGAACTCAGTTATGATTTTTTAAGACACATTATCAAACTAAAACCACATGTTTTTACTTGACAGGAGCTGGATGTAAGGAGGGACAGCATTGTTCTGACTGTGACGTCAAGGGCGATTGTTTGCAGGATTGTGACAAAGGCTTTTATGGACTCAAGTGCCAGTCGGAATGCAGCAGCACGTGCAGATACAATATGTGTAAAATAGTTCCGGGTAAAGGTTCATACACGTGTACTCATGGCTGTGTACCAGGATACCAAGGCACAAGTTGTAACAGACCATGTGACAGTCACGTGATCAGCTGTACACTGTGTTCAGGTGGGTGTGACGGGGGGTACTGTCAGCTGGGTGATGCTTGTTTTGCCGGATGTCGAGATTCCAGGTACGGATCAGGATGTAAGACGTGTCCCAGTAACTGCAGAACCTGCAACAGGATGACAGGAGTATGTGATGAGTGTGACCAAACACATTATGGAGTCAACTGTGAGGTGACGTGTGAGAACTGTGCAGGATCCTGTGAGTCTGACTGTGAATGTGTTCCTGGCTTCTACGGGGACTTCTGTGCCGAGACTTGCAGTAAAACATGCCGCCCCAAGTCAGCCCACAAGTGTCTTCCTGCTGTGACGTCAGACAGCTGTACAGGTGAATGTCACAAACACAGCGCCACGTGTCTCCATGGCTGTGTGGATGGCTGGTTCGGACCGAGGTGTTCCTCTCCGTGTAATCCTGGATGTCGTCATCAAAGATGCAATGCAGCAGGTTCCTGTGCTGAAGGCTGTGAACTTCATCATTTCGGGTCAGCCTGTGAACCTTGTCCTGAGAACTGCGCCAACCGAACATGTGATCAGACTACTGGTGGCTGTGTGAAGGATTGCAGCGAGGAAGGAAGTGAGCCTAACTGTACACAGACCTGCTCCACTCCAGGATGCTCTACAGACCATCGTAACGCGAGTGAGTTATTCTTGAACAATAAATACTTATTCTTTGAAAAATGTGACTAAACCTTTTTCATATTCAAAAGGTGTCTGTGCTAAACTCACAGTCGACTGAATATTTCCACATGGAGAGCACATGTTTATGTTGAAATGTTACCCCAAATTTTAGGCGTAATGAGAAAGTCAGCATGAACGTGAAAGTCCAACATGTTACTCTGACATCTCCAGATGACACTTGCTTTTATTTTTGGCAAATTTTGCGGAACCTCTGAAGATATATACTGAACAACACAATAAACGCAAGTTTCGAAAAGATTAAAATGACGTAATGATTCCAGATGAGATGATGCCATGTAGTTTAACGTCCACACGAAACGTTCACACAAACACAACCATCGTACGTAATGTTAGCACGTGCATTAGCAGTTCTGGATCGAAGGCATGTATTTCACTCTGAGGTATCCCTTATAAAGGTTTGTGCCAAAAAGAGTTCAATATTGACGCTAGGAGGTGTACACGCCCAACATGCAATGCCTAGACTATACGACTGATCAGAGAGGAATGGCCATTGGAAAGTTGAAAGGAGGTAGCTCTGCAACCGCTATAGCTAGACAATTGGGCTGTCATCGTTTCACCATTACACAACATGCCCGACGTCATCAGCAAACCGGGGCTGTTGATGATCATCCCCGTACCGGACGGTCAGGAGTGACATCAGGGTCACTCAACTAAGTAACCAAACTCAAGCAGCAACAGTAGCAGCAGCCTTAGTTCATGGGTCAAGGGGAGCAGTGTACAGCGATACGATTAGGGGCTGCTGGAGTCCACTGTCGACGGCCATATGTGGGGCTAATTTTGACACGTCAACGCCGTCATTGACATTACAGTGCCCCAACAACATCAACGTTTGCAACGTGTGCAGTGGCGTCAAGTTGTCTTTTCAGACGAGTCACGATACCATATTTCACATGTTGACGGCCGTTTACGTGTTTGGCGTAATGAGCGTTACGCTGATTGTTGTGTCAGACAGTGAAACAGATGGGATGGTGGAAGTGTGATGGTCTGGGGAGCGTTCATTTACAACAACAGGTCCCAGCTTCATGTTACCGGTAACGTGTAACTGCTGTTGTGTTTGCTGTATATCCTCCATTACAGTATTTTCATTAGAACAACGCACACAGCAAGGGTGACGATGGATTATCTGTCTGAGGACAACATTAACGTTCTTCCATGGCCCTCTATTTCCCCGGGTATGGCCCCATGGAACATGTGTGGGACGAACTTGGGCGTAGGATTGCTGCAGGTAGACACACACTTGCACAGTTGGAACAGAGATTGGTGTTCGAGTGGAACCACTTGCCTCAGGCATTATTTCACACTCTAGTGAACTCAATGAGGCGACGTTGCGCGGCCTGTGTACAAGACCAAGGAGGCCATACACGCTACTACAGAGACTGTCACTTTTCGCGTTCTCCATTTGATGGACTGTGATGAATTTGAATTTATTGCAATGCAATATCAACAGCACCTTTCAGCTGATAAATTAACAGTATTTTCTATAGAATAGGTGAATAGATATGATAGTTACTCTGCTTAAAACAAAGACGGAAATTGAAATTGTGTAACACTTTACTTACAATCTTAGAGGAATACACGAAACATGAATAACAACAATGGTCACCAGGATGTCATGACGCCATCTATCAGATTGTCATCCTAAGCGTGACATTTTCACTTCTAAACTATCCTGGTAAAGTGAAGAATTTTGTGACATACACATTTACAATAGAGGAACTGCATTTGTTTACATGTTTCTGGATACCCACCATGACTGAATATAATACTCATTTCTTGTAACCAGAGAGAGATGCAGATCAATAGTTAGCATGATGAAGTGATAAAATACATGCCACCAAGATAATATTATATTATCATGTTGAGAAACAAAAGGGTGTCAATGGACGAATTCGTGTTACTTTGTGGTTGCCCCACACCAACCTTGTGTTGTTGTGGTAAAAGTGAGTGAGTGTGTTTAGTTTTACGCAACTTTTAGCAATAGCCCAGCAATATCACGACGGGCGACACCGGGAAATGGGCTTCACACATCGTACCCATTTTGGGGAAAAGTACCCGGGTCTTCTGCGTGACGAGGTGAACGCGTTAACCACTAGGCTACCCCACCGCCCCTGTGGTAACAGATGGAAACAGGATGCATGGTGGGGGACGCCGAAAATGTTTTCAGAAGGTTATTTCCTTAAAGATACAACTAAATATAGCACGACATGGAGCTTAGTATAAACTTCTATGAAGTCTGCTGCAGGGACGATTTGTGATATTACAATAACTGGGTGTGACTATGTAGCTATGGAGAGGGGCTTGTCTCTTCTATGTACTGATAATCACGATCAAATCGTGATATTCCCTGCAAGGTGAGAAATGATTCGTTGTTCCCAGATTAGTGTTAATGTGTATGTTTTGTTTTGTCAGCTCTGCTGGACATGCCACATTCGAGTTCAGCCACCCTGATATGGGTTTTGTGTGCAGCAGTCCTTTTGCCTTGGTTGCAAGTTCCGTATGCTGTGTCTGTTTTCACAAAGGCCCATGTATACAAAGGTAAGTGTGTGCTTATCAGGGCGTTAATAGTGACAATACGAGATATGCAGGGCGTTCCGACTGATGGCAGATGTATTGTAGGCACTTTCACAGGTTACGGTCTTTAGCTGTGCGTGGATACATGTTTGTACATTTCCTTCGTCAAATCAAAGTAGTAAATCTACTTCGTCACAGTAGCTTGACTATCATTATCATGACCATCAGCAAAGCCACGTGCAGGTCAGCTGCGTGTAACTGCTTCCGTTAAAACATACGTAGAATTTATTTACTCACCATTTTCTAGAATGGCGTTCATGTTCAAATGATTTACTTCAGTTAATAATATGTATTGTAAATGTTTCAGATTTGGTGTTCATGGTCTGTCGTTGATGTGTTTCAGAGATATGACAGAAGCCAAGCGAGATGGTGTCCAAATACGGCTAGGTGCACCAAGGATCTCCTCACATGATTACTGCGATGTCGACGAGGGTGAAGGTGGTCCAGTAATTGTGTACCTTTAGTACAGGTTCCAATAAGAACAACGATGAAGTACAACATATGATGGTGGTTATTTCTGTGTGTAATTTGTATATACATTTATCAAATCGGTCATCTGTTATTGCCATCCCATTGTCCACACCATTAACACGATGGTACAGAAAAGTGACAAAACCATTTCAACCATTTGTATACCGAATATGTTTTAAAAATAAACACGAAGAAACCCCTTCCGAATAGATTATGTGCACCTGTCTCAAACATTTTTCATCTGCAAAACACAGAAACAAGGAATGGCATCGGATAATAGTTGAACGCTGATT